TACTAAGGGCTACACGTTGACGTATCTTCGCCATCGTCTTCTTAATCATAACACCCCACCCTATCTTGGGAGTAATCCAGTACCCCAAGTACTTAAACTCATTGGACCAGTTGATCGCTACTTCGCTGCGTGAACTGAAAGCAATGCCAAACTTGGGTGGTCCTATTGCACGGGCGCTGAATAGAGCTTCTGTTTTAGCAAAATTGATGGGTTGGACCGACAAGCACGAATAATATTCAAGCTCGTCTAGGAACAGCTTCACTCGTTTCTCTACATCTAGACATTGCTCAGTATATCGTATACCCATTTGTCCTGACAGAATCGCAACAAGGTCATCAACGAAAAAGTGACTCGTGCATCCAGAGAGAAATTGACCCATGTCGCAATGATACGTTATGAATAAACTATGTGAGAGGATACCGCCCTGAGGGCACCCTTTTTCAATATTGAACCATCTCGACTTTCTCCCGTTTATTTCGATGAAACCCCGTCTACCGACAAGCCATGCGTGGATCCAGGCAATGTAGGAGGGTAGGATGCCCAGTCGTCTCAACTTTCCAACGCAACCCGGAAACCATAACTGGCCAAATGCCGACCTGTAGTCAATAAAAATAGAGCAAACGGGAGCACTGTTTGCCATTAAGCTATACACGTCTTCCAAGAACAGTAATAAGCGGGTTTGCAGTCGGAACTTATCTCTAAAACCGGATTGACAATGTGAAATCATATTAAATATCAAGTACTTTCTTATTTTTTTTCTGAAATGATCAAATCAAAGGAACATGAAACCTTCTAGAAGTTACCCCTATATAATCTATTTTTTTAAAATTATTAAAGTAATTGTTTTTTCTCTATCAAATTTTTAGGCGCACAATGGCAGAGAACTTTTTGTTCAACAATTAATGCTTGAATTAAAAGTCGATTCATACGGCGGATGTTTAAATAATCGTCAAGGTTATGGAGCTCGCATGGTAGATAATTTTGCTGCATATAAAAATTATAAATTTGTAATTGCTATTGAAAATTCAAATTGTCAAGATTATGTTAGTGAAAAACTAATTTTAGCTGTTTCGTCCGGTTCTATACCTATTGTTGCTGGTTTTAATGGTCGTCCCGACTATCGAAGATATATGCCTGAGCATTCATACATAAATGTATTTGATTATTCTTCAATAAAAGAGCTTGCTAATGATTTGAAACGTATTGGAAGTAATAAAACATTATATGAATCTTATTTGTGGTATAAAAAATATGATCACGATATTTCAAAATTACGTGAAATGCCATTGAATGAAAAATTGAAGCATCTAGCTAATACTATTGGCTCAAATACAACAATGATGATCGACGGTATTGCAGCCAAAGAAAAAAGTGAAAATAAAGTTTGTAAACTCATTCGATTTGTTCGTCAAACACCTTGGCAAGAGATTTCTGCACACAAAAGAACATCACGTGCTGATTCATCAATAGCTTGTTTACCTGGCAGGTACATAATGAATTATTTTGATTCGCCTCAAAAAAATACCAGTACAACAATTAGATCTTAAGTTTCTACTTTTTGTTTATTTTTGTTTCGATGAAACATTAGACTTTTATATTCATTTTTGATAATTTTTCTTTCGCTTGAAACTAAGTTTTCCAATATAAATGCTCAGAAAAATATAAGTGAAAATTAAAGTATTCCATTTAACTTTAAAGCGACAATCATATTACAGAAATCCACCACGGATCTTGTTGATTGACATGCAAGCAATTCAACCAAATATTAGCAAACACTGAGAGCAGACATCTTGAAATATCTTAACAATCCTCGTTACCGTAAATAGTTGCTAAAGACCTAAAGTATTATCGTTAATGAGATCAAAAGAAAAACAAGATTATTGCATGTTAAGAATTTCAGGTCTTATTGACGATTTTGTTTTGTCTAATAGTTTATCTTTGATGGACTCTCGTGTTATATTGAAACAGTCGTAAAGGTATAGAACTACGTTTAACTCGGCCAACGCAAATAAAATGAATGATCTATTTATGGAAGTAGAAAATTAAGAGAGAGCAATTTTCAAATAAGTTTACTAGATGCAAGGATAAAAAAAGCATTAGTATTGCTTGAATAAGATTTGAAATTGAGTGAATCTTCTTTCTGGTTGTCACACACATTTAATTTCTTGGCAATCTGTAACGAAGACATATTATATAGCCTTGAGAGCATCTATAATAAACATTGTAATAAAGCATTCATTAGGCTTACAAAAAAAGTAAATTATCATTATTTTCCTTGAGCGCATTTTGCGTATTCTTTATGGCAGTAAAATTTCATAGCATTCTCATGAAGAAACAATATTATCACGTTCAATTCATGAATATTGTAATATCAACTTCAATGTTTGAAACTATGGATGCCGAAGTCATGAAAGATCTTAATAACTCTTCACTTGTTGTGTCTATGGTATCACGTAGACTTTCAATATCAAATATAATCCTCTTTATCTATACTCATATTATAACTTGAATAAGCAATATGATCTCTCACTCATAATTTTTTGTTTTTGTACAGTTCATTTTTTTTAGTTGGTTATAGAATCATCAACCGAATGTTATCAAATACACTTAATATTATATTTATTGATTTTTAAATTAAATGCTAAACGTTCGGTTTTTTTAGAAAACAGTTAAACATATATATATATATATATATATAGCTACAATTTATCCGCAGCAATTAATGTCAATATGCTTTCTTTTGATTTAATTAAGCATAACGAATTCATATCATTTTAATGATTCAATGAACTATAGCCACTTGTGGCTTTTTATGTTTAACAAAAGAAAACAAATGGAGCAATAGTCTTTTAAATTCATGCCGAAATGATTGTGATGTTATTAGATAAATCCAAAACGAAAGACTGTTATTTAAATAGAGTAAGAATTCACGGACAAAGTAGAAAACGAATGATTCAATACATTGACGTTCACTACCGTTCGCTGCAGGCGGAGCCGCTGCTTTATAAATGAGAGCCACAGTATTTGGTATAGTTGTAATAATGTAAATGACTAATTCCGTAAGTAACATTCTCATCATATCCCGATCACGTTTTCGAAGAATACTTATGATCTTTCTGTTTCCTAAGGTTTGAATATTTGCGCGTAATTCTTTCAAATTTATTACCATTAATACTCCAAAAGTGCACAAAGTTACTAGTGGAAAGATACCGAGTACAATCATAATATAAGCAGAATATAATATATTAGGTAGACCACTCTGTACATCACATACACCATTACTAACTGTATATAACATTGTTGGAAATAAGCCTAATAGAATCCAGAAAATCATCACAAGTGGAATGACACGAATCGCTATTTTATGTCGACTGAATGAACGAATAAACACCCGATTGTTACAACTCGCATACCGATCAACACAAATAATGACAAAGAATGTTCGCATCGATTGACTAAATACATGGCGAAAATAATATTGTGATTTGCAAAAAGGAATCGAATATGATAGTGGATTCGGATGGTCAAGTGCGTAAATAATAGGTATGACAGCACTATTTAAACCAATCGAACTGCACAATGACATACTAACAATGTACAGTGAACAAGAATTGCGACGATGTGATGATCGACTGAAGATAAGTAAGTTAAAAATAGATCCAATGTTTCCAAGTATATCATATGTTGTCATTCCGTATCTTGTGAGATATTGTTGAACCACGACTAGGGTGGAAGTTAATAACGACATGAATAAATTATAAATAAGTTTGTAAAAGAACTTTATTCAGAACAAGCGAAAAGAAAGAAACAAAACATGTAGTCGTCAACTTCAATATTAACGATGTCACAATAAAAGTTTCTTTTTCTTTTCTTTGTCAGACTAAATAGGAGAAAGAATTATCACGTAGGAAAAGATTGCTACAATTGTCCGATGCGTAAATATAGTAGCATAATGATGAATTATATATTCTTCACTAACTCTTTCATTAAAATAAACAAAGGAAATGGAAAATAAGAAGAGTTCCATCGGTAAGACAAAGGAAAAATGCTACCTATATAGCAGAAAGCCGCATTATAAACTGAATTAATTTTGATTACTTTATAAAATAAGTAACGCATAGCTTTCTATGCCTTTTCAGAGAAAAATTTTCAGAACTTTGAAATCAATTTTAAACAAAAGAATATATGTATAATAAAATGTTCTATTTCAAACTAGCTGCCTATAGCTTTATTATGTTCTTAAGTGATGCATACAGTTGTTGGTTTTCTGATCGTATCACCTCTTTAAGATAAACGTTCACAAAAACACGTTGACTAGTAATATTTTATCATCAACATAGTAGATTATTTATTTTTCAAAGACACTGCATCAGACCGATTTTTTTTTACTTATTAAAAAGGTTTACGGCGAAAATGAATAGTCCTTTTTTTAAAGATCCCACTGCGAGCGGTATTTTAATAATAACTTGTTTTAATGACGATCTATTGAGTTGTGCTCCTGAAGTCATTTAGAGCAATTCACCTCCGAACACGACAAGTGAACGTTATCACTAGAAAAGTTCAGAACTTTGAAATATGCGTACTTTAATGATGCGGAGTGCTATTCTTGATAGACAAAATTAACTAGGCACATATCTAACGAGGAAAATTCTCCAACTGATTGATTACTGTTGAGTTGGGACAATTTACATAACTGAGAACGTAATCAGCAACCGATACACGAAAAAAACTATTGTGTTTTTCTCTTGCTCTTTATGAGAGATTACATTCTATTGACAGCTTCTACGGATTATCAGGAAAACTGTCATATTTTTATTAACAGTAAATTAAATCTAAAAAATTCAAAGCCTAAATTTTGCTAAGGCAAATTTTACTTGCAACAAAGGTCTGATATCATTATCCAGTACTTTCCTAAACTAGTACAATGTTTCGTTTTGCTGTTTTTATCGTCACACGCTAGCTAAAATCGTATACATAGTCACGCATGATATCAATTAGTTAGATTATTAACGTCACAGCAAATAAACGAGAAGTACGCAATAAAATATATAATTATCAATGGTTGGTTGAGTCACTGCGATTAACATCAATCAGCTATAAATATAAACGATGTTATTTCCTATTCAAATTGTTGTTGTTGTTGTTATTCATGCGCATTTAATATGTATCCTGCACTAAAACAAACTTTATTGCACCCATCGTACTTGTTTTTTTCTTTTTTTCCCTTTTTATTAAACTGTCAAACTCATACAATTTGTTTAGTTTTCAAGTTGCAAAAGAATATTCTAAGCATTAGGGATTTTGAAAGAACACATACCGATAAATCTTTCAAAATGAGTCTGTCATTTTCAGTGCAAAAAAAGAATTTCTTCAGGAAGATTCAAATAAGAGATACGTCGATTTACATAACTTTGATCACATCATCATATAAAGTCTGCTTAAGACATATTAGTGTGATTCTAATTATTTGTTAAAATGCTTCAAATTTTTCGGAAGTAGGAAATATATTCACTTTAGTAATATTTTTTCCATCAATAATCAGTGCTCAACTTCTTACTGAGCTAAAATTATAAAGATAATAACTTCATCAGAGTTATTTTTACACTTCAAAGCCATAGCTAGAAATGGATATAAGATTCAAGTATGTTACGAAGAAGCAGTATCAATTACCGCATTTATCGATGTCACTTGGTATTGCCTAGAAAGAAAGCAATCTTTTATACAGGAGAAACTTATACTTTAGTTAATTAAATGATTTTCCTTTCTGAAAATACTTTTAAAAAAATCTTCGTAAGTATTTAAACTAGATATAACAGAAGCATCGCATTCTTGGCGAATAGCGTTTGAAAAATTGGCTGTAATTAAAATTAAAAAAACTAGGCAAACAAAAACTATATTTGTGCTTTTCCTTATGTCAGCACAATCAAATATTTTAATAACACAGTCAAGCTGTGAAACTAGATTTAAAATTTTTACAAAAGAAAACAATTTGAATAAACTAATGATGTAGATTTTTTCCATAGACCCTGGGAATAGTCAATAGACACAGTTACTCATCTGAGCAATTCTTCAAGGAACAAGGGAATAACAGTGAACACTATCCGAAAAAACATTTTTGAATCATTTTTCTCGGTACTATCATGTAGGACAACATATTACAGTATTACAGAATGTGAATATTGCAATCTTCTTCAGTTGCATATAAATAAAGGAACCAGATTATTCGATGATCGTATTGCTTTATTTTATTCAACAATTCTTCTATTCCCTTGGATTACGAGAAAAATTGAATCTTTTACATCATAATAATATTTCATTGTATTCCAAAAATAAAAACAAACATGGCAAGAAAATATATGTAAAATTTAGAAATTTTCCTTATTTAAATAAAATTGAACTTTATTCGGTGAACTATGATCGTTCAGTTTGATACATAAACATTGAAGTTCTTTTGCCAACGGTTTCGGACCGCACACAAACACACCAATATCACGTTTTTGTGTCATCTGCCAATCTTCATTGATAATACCTTGAAAATCAGCAGCGAAATTAGGTCGTCCATAAGATGTTTTACTTTCTAGACCTGTCCATATGTCTCGTTGGTCACTATTATTTTGTACAACAGCTCGAGCTTCTCTCATTGACCATTTCGTTAAATAAATGTGATAAGTTAAAAAATTAGGCCGATCTCGAAAATCATGCTCGATTTGTTGAAGCATTTCAGCAAACCACTCATAGCAAGATGTCGTATTACATATCCAATAGAAATAAACACGACGAAGACGAACATCATTCGATTGCGACGAACGAATATGTTTCAATATAGCAGCATATGGTGTTACTATAATAATCAAGAAAGACACAAAACGTTTTGAAATGAACAAGATTTCGTTCTCTTACCACCAATACCAGCGCCAACTAGTATAACACCATCATAATTAAATACATCATCAGCTGCACTTCCATACGGTCCATCAACTCCTAATCTCGGTATCTGTTGTGGATACATTGCCAATTTTTTCACTAAATCACTGGTCCAATTTCCTGCAGTTCGTACATGAACACTAACATAGGTATCTTCAGCAGCTGATGTCACTGTAAATGGATGCCACTCGAATAGAGCAATCGAAAAACATTTCAAATAAATATATTGACCGGGTTGTGGTGTCTGCATGAATTGTTTTCGAAATCGTATTTCAGTAACATTCGAGTCGTGTCGAATGATATCAAGTATTTCGACACGTTGTAAACTACGTATGAAACGAAGAACGCGTTCAAGAACATAAAGACCAAGTGGACCACAGAGCCACATCCAACTCGTTGCTTCTGAGCCACTGAAGCGTGGATAAATAAGACATTGTTCATTGACACCCCATTCAAGGTAGAGAGAAGCACATATTTCTGGATTATGTTCGCTAACATTTGTTTGTGATTTAATTATGCGTTGTAAACCGTGAATAATTAGACAAATGAAAAATAGAATAAAAAAATGATGAGCAAACCAAAATATCTCATAAAATGATCGACGAATCAAGGCAGTTGATGAGCTAAATATAATTATTAAACAAATGCAAAGTATGACTCCGGTAATCCCTGCTGTTGTACTCAGCATTGATCCAACACCTAATGAATTTGGATTTGCTCGATCGAGGGGATTGACTTGAGACTCGGACGACTGAAGATAAAGTAAATTTAATGCTGATGGAAGAGATTGGTATTCATTATTGACATCAATCAAACGTTCATAATTATAAACATGTGCTCCGACATGTATTATAGACCAGAAACATATTGCATAGCCAACACATCGATGAAAACCGATATTTTGATCAAATAGACGTTTTGTAACACGACGAAACCTTGCTTTTGCTATACAATGCGGCAAAATATTTCGTATCAACGAAAGTAAATTTCGACAGACAGGTAGAAGAATTAAAAAGCAATTGAAATTCAAACAGAGCGCTGCTGCTCGTGCAACACTTAAGGCATCGGATATTAACGAACGTAAATAAAAATATTTTAGAGAATCATGAATATTAAAAAAGTTGCCAATGAATAAAAGAATATTTATCGCTAACCATATAAATAAAACAATAATGATAGGAAGATCATTTGCAACAAATAAACGAAACCATAAACGAATGGATTTAAGACTCATTGTGCTTGCAGTAGATACTTTGCTTGTGGATAAAAAATGATTATTTGTAAATAAGTGTGTCATATATATATAGTGTATGTATCGTACTGTGTGTGATGACTCGCTGAAAGGTTGGATAAAGGCACTGATGCGTCACCAGTTGGTTGATTTTTTTTTGGTCAGTATATCTTTTTCACTATACTGTTTTCAATTAGAAATATTCGATTGATTCCGTTTTCAATGAAGTATTGCTGGAAAATATTTCTTTCAAGGTCGTTCCTGTTTGTCTGATAATTTGAGATCATAAAAAATAAAAATAAAAGCCGCTGCAAAATAGAACCTTGGAATTATTTTGTGTCGTTCTCACCATATTGACAGTTTCGACTGAAAACGAATGAATCATCGATACAAGAAACGAGTCATGCATGTATTTGTGATATTTTTCTATTGCTTTTTTATGTACCAAATCGATGAGACACATAGTAATAGTCATGCATTGGTATCTACTACACGCTTTACTTAAAGCATTTTTGTAGAGCTGATGATTAGCATTGTTTTTCATTTTTTATATGCATATATTGCGTTGCTTCATTCTAGTGATTGAGAAAGAGACATTGAATGTTCGCCGATAATAAGATGAGTAAGACACATTTTTCAGCACTGAAGCTGACCCCAAAATATAAAGCATACAAAATCCATGTCATGAGGAAGGGATTAGTGACCAGTCTATGAGCAATTCTTTGCATTGATTGACTCTATATTGTACCATACGGGTCTACTTGTCTGTTTATTTCACGTCTTTGTTTGATACCTTATATGAATCTATAATTGTTCTTAGCAATATTTTTCCTATCGTGAAACTGATATTAATGGTTGAAATTAATCCATGGAAAATATCCAACATAGGGGAAAATGTTTTGAGCCCAACAAAGTGCTGATAACTAGAGGTGTCAGTCGTGCGACTGAGCCACCGTAGCCCCCGATTAACTCGGAAAAAGTAAAGCCGCCGCCGTCCCCTATTATTGATATCCACAATTTTTATTTTCATTTTCATTTTCATTTTTTAATGAATTTCGATGTTTTTATTCATTTTTCATCTCAATATGATATATAGAGACGCACCAATTCCTAGTACATGGTCTGATAGATGATATTTTTGCCTGATGAAGAACACAGTTGTCCGCTGATTCCATAGAGTAGTCAAGAACAGTTTTTCGCCTTCTCTGAAACCATAGTCGGAATTTATGAAAGATTTTAAAAAATGCTTCGGATTTGACGTGGATTTTACATAAAATTAGAATTTTCAATTTTTATTGGGTCAAATGCTGTGAAATCTAACTCAATTGCAGACTGGCAGTTTGAATTAGACAAAATCTACTGGCGGATCCATGGGATGGCCGAGGGAGATTAAGTTCCCTACGGTAATTTTTAGCCGCCCATGAACCTCTTCCAGTGCAAAAAACCTGGCTCCGCCGCTAACAAAATCTAAGAATAGATTTGAAAAGAGCGTTCAAAATTGAACAGAAATAGTATGAAAAAAGATGCTCGGTTGATAACTGCGAATGACGAGCATGTTATTTTTATACAGGGAAAAAAACAATTCCTAAAATTTTTGATCTAATGTTTGCTTGTTTTCAGTGTTGACAGTTATCGACCGAGCAACTTTTTTCATATTATTTCTGTTCCGCTTTGAATGCTCTCTTCAAATGTATTCTTAAAGTTTGCCTAGTACAAACGGCAAGTCTGAAATTGTTTTGGATTTTGCAGAATTTAAGCGCACAAAACTTACAAATTCTAATTTTATGTAAAATTCAGGTAAAATCCGAAGCCTTGTTAAAATCTTTTATAAATTTCGACTGCAGCTTCGGATGGAGCGAAAAAAAAACTAATCTTGACTAATCTATGAAATAAGCGGATAACTGAGTTCTTCATCAGGCAAAAATATCATCTTTCGGACCATGTACTAGGAATCGGTGTATCCCTAATTTATTTAAATGTACTTTATTTATTATGTCAAGATGTAAAATAAAGTTGTTTCACATATTTGTTTGAAAATATTAACGATAATATATTGCAATAGACAGATTGTTCTTGCTCACGAAATTAGTGCTTTTTTAACCTTCCAGCCGCCGCCGTGCAGCCAAAATGTGCAAGTCAGCCACCGCTGAGCATTAAAAAGTGATAGAAAACGAATAAAGTCAAAATATATATAGTTGCGCACCTGTTGTTTTATTGTTCTGTTAATTCTTCACAAAAAGAACAAGCACACTGTACATGTGTGATTTAGATGGAAGAAAAAAAAATACAGTTACTATAGATTTCAGAAATAAATAAATAAATAGCTTACTAATAAAAATTGAGTATTTCTTATTTGCTACCACTTCGTTACACCGCTGCATATATACACTAAGCTATGTAAAATTGGGAAAGACATCATTGTTAACCCCTGTTATTCGTTATTTTATAGTGACAACTTCACATTCGAATAAAAACGGCACAGATTCATCATTTATGTATGATACTTCATACGTACCATTGTACACCATGCGGAGGAATATTGTAACTATTTCAATATTTTTGAAAATCATCTAAAGTCAATTTTTATTGAATAAAACGGAGTGTTAAAACTATTCACGTTTTCATATTTTTCTATTTTATTCTGTCTAAACTAACTCACGCAATATTGAAATTAATGCTGTTACTTGATAGATATATAAATTATTTTAACTTATCAGACTATAGAGGTAGCACATGACACATATAGAGAACCCTGGCTGAATGATATTGTTCTTATCTATCTGTGCTATTTTGTTTTTCATCATGCACACGTTCCGTGCTTTGTAAGAATGACGATTTAGAATGTGAGCAAGAACTAAAAATAATCGAATATAATGTTGGCATTTTCCAATATATGCTTACCATAATTTTTTATGTTCTTCACAAATATTTGAAACAGTGTTTTATCTAGGTTTTATTTTTCGGGTGGGCGGTTGAAATTTTTGGAGGGGCTGCTGGCTAGAAAATTTGTTATCATATAGTAACGAGTAGGGGTGGCACTTTACGTTAATTTAATATTAAGTGTTAAGTTTTAACTTAACACTTAATATTAAGAAAAAAACGTTTACATTAGCGACTTAATTACTTAATATTAAG